TCCTCTAGTAAGATATGTATAAATAATCAGGCTTAAAAATCACACAACTATACAGTTCAAGGGCCTGGATGAAGAAAATTACAAGATGTTGCAGATGGAAGAAATCCTGGAAATCATCTTTTCTAATCCTTCATTTTCAGATGAAGATGCTGAGATCCAAGAAGGCTGGTACTTGCTCAAATTCAAAACCATAACAGATCTGACACTGAAGCCTGGGTCTCTAGACCCCCATCCGGTGTTCTGTCACTCTGCCATGCAGCTCACCTAGAAGAAATCTGCCTGAAGAGAGCCCAGAAAACATAATAAACGTGTAAACATAATATGTTCCAAATGCGGATAAAATATGCTAAAGACATGTCGTCCTTCTGTGAGGCTGTGTTTCTATAACAGTGACAGGTACGAGGAAAACTGAATGAAATATTTTCATGATGAAAAAATAGAAGGAGTTGTTTTATCCCCTGGAATAAAAATTTTAAAGCATTTTGCATTCATAGTTGTAATAAAGTCTCCAATCTAGAAACTAATTTCAGTTATTCATTTCGTCAACCCACGACGTGCCTTTTCAAGCGCTGGTGATATGGTCAGTGATTTTTAAAGAATAAGTTCCTGCTATAAGAGATTTTTCTAATTGTGAAGGTAGGTGTGGGGTGGCCAACACAAGGATGCCCCACTCAGGAAGATCTTGGTGGCCAACTGTAGAGAGAGGTCAACAGAGACTTCAGCTGTCCACTCCTTCAAGGTCATTTCAGTTGCAGATCATTGCTTTGCTCAAGATCATACTCTTCCTGTGAGATCTTTCCAAGTCCAGTGACAGAACACAGAGAATAAAGATCTGGCCATTTCTATCTAATACAAGGCAATTGTGACGGACAGTCCTTGCTCGTCTGTTCTCTGCCAAATGGATCAATTTTTTTATTGGGCTTCGTAGTTGTTGGAAACTTCTCCCTCTGCTGTATCCTGTTTCTCCATTATCTTTCTTTCACAGATGGTGACCCCTCATGAATATTCTACACCCTAAACTCTGTTTCAATGTCTGACTCCAGAGAACAGGGTGTGGAGCAGCTATTTTATACAAGGTGGTAAAGGAAGACCTTTTTAAAATAAGATGAAATTTGAGCATTGGGGCAAAGACCTGGAGAATGTCTGGGAGAGTCAATTACAGAGATCTGAAGGAAGAGGGTCCCAGCAGGAGAGAACTAGTGCAAAGGTGCATGACTGGCAGGTGTTTAGAACTGCAGCAAAGGGGCTAAGGGAGTTGGAGCCATATGGAGGAGAGGAGAGGTAGGAAACGAGATGTGAAAGGCATGTGGCAGGGGCGTGAAGGATGATACTCTCCCACCCTGTAGGGGCATGTAGGCCAGGGTAAGGACCTGGCTTTTGCTCTGAGACAGAATGGCAGGTTCCAAGAGTTTCGAGCAGAGGATTGACATGATCTGATCTGTGTTCTAAGAGCTTCACCCTGGAAAAGGGCAGAGGCAGGAAGGCCAGGTGGGAGGCTATTGTGAGAATCCAGTATGAAGCAATGAAGGCTTCCATCAGGTTGGGAGCAAAGCCGGTGGTGAGGAGCAGTCAGAGCCTGGATACGTGTTGAAGGGTAGAATGAAGGTGGATTGAAAGTAGGGCATGAGTCAAAGAAAAAGAGCAAGGGTAACGTCAAGGTTCTGGTCTGAAAAATCTGGAAGGAATAAATTGGTGTTTGTTAGATCAGGATCCACATTTGGAACATATTATGTTTACAAATAGAATTCAGTAAATCTCTAATTCATCATCTGAAGGGAAACGCTTCTAAGAATAAAAGGGATTGATGAATAATTTCTATGGGGTAAACTGGGCATGGTGGCACATGCCTGTAACCTCAGTGGCTTGGGAGGCTGAGGTAGGAGGATCACAATTTCAAAGCCAGCATCAGCAATGGCAAGGTGCTAAGCAACTCAGTGAGACTCTGTCTCTAAATAAAACACAAAATAGGGCTGGGGGTGTGGCTCAGTGTTCAAATCCCAGGTGCCAATAATAATATAATAATAATTTCTATGGTGTAAAAAATATAAACCTGGATTATCTGGGACAAACCAGGGGATACAACCCTGGCATAGCCCAGGACTTAGGAAAAGGACTATAGCATGTGTTAGGGGAACTGGGTTTAAATGGTAGTTTGTCATTTGTGTTAGGAAGTGCTTTGGCCTGAATGTTTGTGTCCCCTCAAATTTGTGTGTTAACACCCAACCCCTACAATGACGTTATTAAGGGGTAGGATTTTGGTAAAGTGATTAGATCATAAAGGCTCCACCCATAAGAATGGGATTAGTGCCCTTTATAAGGGAGGCTGAAGGGGAGCTTGTGAGTCTCTTTTTGTCTTTCTGACATGGGAGGGGGGGTTCAGGAGTTGGGGGAGTAAGGGAAGAATCATCACAGAGAGCAAGCCTTCACCAGACACCAAATCTACTGTGAAAAATAAATTTCTATTATTTACAAATTACCCAGAGAGATCTAAGAATTAACAATGGACAGATTAACAGGAGGGGGGAAAAAAGGTTGATTGATATGTGCCTACGGGAGTAACCAGCAATGAGTAACTCCCTAAATAGTCAGGGATAAAAGATTTTGTGTTAGTCAGCTTTTTGTTGCTATGACAAAATACCTGAAAAAAAAAAAAAACAGCTTAAAGGAAGAAAGATTTATTTGGGTTCACAGTGGATTTAGAGATTTCATTCCATGGTCACTTGGCCCCTTCACTTGGGGTCTTTGGTGAGGCAGAACATCACCACAGGGAACATGGCAGCAAAGCAGAGCTTGGTACCTCATGGAAGGCAAGAAACAAAAATAAACCCTTGAAAGGCATGCCTCCAGTGACCCACTTCCTCCAACTAGACCCCCTCCTCCTTAAAGTTCCCGCCACCTCCCAACAGTGCTGTAAGCTGGGGGCCAAGCTTTCAACCCAGGAGCCTTTGGAGAATATTCCAGAATAAGAAGGGTCTTGGTCATAAGCTACTGGCCCCATCCTTCTCCTGCAATTAAGATGTAATTGACTTAGCAACCGCAAGCAGGATTCAGTTAGTCACCAAAGGATTCATTTAGCATCTGGCCAAAATCTTTGGTGGTTACACAACCTCAAGCCATAATTACATAGGAAAATTGTAGGCTAAGTGGGAAGTACCTTACAACCCCAAGGAGATTTGAGGGAACCAAACCCAAATGTATTTGTATTTTGAGGTCAAGGAATTTGTACATATTTGGAGTTATAAGCTTGTCATTGAAGTATTTGAATAAGTTTTTTTTTTATAAATCCAGTTTTAAACATGCAAATGCATCATTGATTGAGATGTGTGTAAATTTGTATCCAGGACTGAATGACTTCAAGAGATCTTCACATCTAATGTAAGTTTAATTTCACGTATCAGATTTAGAAGAATTATTAAGTACTCGGGAAGATTTTATTTATTAAGTTGATTATCTGATAAAAACAAATACATATTAAATTTAGAAGTAAGATACAAACGGTCTTAAAATATTTATTTTGTTGATAGTAGTAACCAGATTTTAAAGGTCTCTGTACAATGGTTATCAAATTTGTTAGATCCAAATATGCTCTACAAATATAAGGTGCTCTAGGAATACCAGTCAACTTGCCAGCAATTCACTCATTCTCCTCTGGTGAATCTTGGTTGTTCCATCCCTCTGGAAACGATCATTTAGGAAAAGGTCCATTGTGTCTGGGCGTGATGACCAGGGTTTCAGTGGCCACCTAGTGAGAGGATCTGAGCTCAGGAGGAGAAAGTCCTCACATTGTGGGGGACGAGCAGAGGCGGAGCAAGCTGAATCATCAGACTTCTTGCTGTGGAAAAACAATTTCCTTTTTGTTTATATGGATCATGATGACGGTTTTCCACCATTTGCCGACAAACTAATCTCACTCACATAGGAAGTTACTAAAATCCCTAAGACAGCGCTTCTCAGTGAGTGGCAGAGCTGGGTTTGATTTCACTTCCCAGGCACATGACTGTGAGTGAGCTGTTTGACCTCTCAGTGGCACTCTCTCCTACAGGGTTGCTGCCAATAGAAAGCAACATGGGTTAAGTTTTAGCAACAATTTCTTTAACTGGAAGATTGGATTATTAATATCGAACAAACACCATGGTTATGAGGATAAAAGGGAAATCTATGTAAAAACGGGGCACAGGGGGGTACACCTGTAATCCCAGTGGCTCAGGAGGCTGAGGCAGGAGGATTGCAAGTTCTAAGCCAGCCTCAGCAAAAGCAAGGTGCTAAGAAACTCAGTGAGACCCCTGTCTCTAAATAAAATACAAAAAATAGGACTGGGGATGTTGCTCAGTGGTCAGGTGTCCCTGAGTTTAATCCCAGGTACCCCCTCCCAAATGTATGTAAATATCTTAGATCAGGGCCTAGTACACAGCTGTTTTTTATTGTTGTTATTTGCAGAATACTATAATGGACTGCAAAGACCCTACAGGAGTGTTTCATAACAAATGGAACTAATTGTGGATTTTGACAGCCGTGGACATGGCTCTCACAGCCCTGGGATCCCCGGTCTCTACTGCCAGGTCTGCGGTGGGGAGTTGACAGAATTTATAGGTCTTTGGACTACCAGGGACTACAGATGCTCTGGAGGTTTAAACCACGGAAAACGGGGTGCTAAAAGTAGTTAACATTTGTCCTTGGTTTATCCTGCCAATATTGATTGGCACCGGGGATACAGAGATGAAAGCAAAAAGACCTGTCCCCAAGGAAAGCTCCTTCACTCACTCCAGGTGGCAGGATGGAACTATGCGGGGTGCTGGGGAGGGGGAGGGGAGGGGCAGTATCAGGAAGTGACTCAGAGGCAAGGGATGCTTGGTTGGTCTGCCCCTTGGAATCCTGAGTCAGTGGAAGCTTGAGAAGCAGATTGGAAAGGGGGAGCCGGGCAGGGAAGGGCTTCCAGGAAAGGAGGCGGTGAGTTGAACATTGACTGCACATTAGATTCATCTGGGAACTTCTGGAAAACACTTGGCATTATGGACCTCAAACATCTTCACATGGTTCTAATTTGCAGTCAAGATTGAGAGCCACTGATCTTTAACTAGATTTTTATTTTTTTTTAAGGAATTGCAGCGGATATGGTGACTAGTTTGGGTTGGCATGACTGGCAGGAATTCTATCATGGACAAGGAAACATTTTGTGCAGGTAACTTTGCTCCTGATCTTTAAAGCAAAGTGATTTACCTCCCAGTGGCTGGTTTTTGATGGAGATGATTGTATCATCAATAGTAGGTGCTTCGTCTTTATTTTTTTAATTTAAAAAAATTTTAATCTTTATTTATTGAATAAATAATCCAGAAAGGCAGTCCTTATAAGTTTGACTATTTTAGGTGTTTATTTAAGAACCTTTACTCGTCTTTCTATCCTTCCAATCTTCTAATCTAAAGTCTGGCTAGCCGGGTGTGGTGGCAAGCCTGTAATCCCAGGGTCTCAGGAGGCTGAGGCAGGAGGATCGAAAGTTCATAGCCAGCCTCAGCAAAAAATGAGGCACTAAGCAACTCAGTGAGATCCTGTCTCTAAGTAAAATACCGAATAGAGCTGAGGGTGTAGCTCAGTGGTTGAGTGCCCCTGAGTTCAATACCCAGTACCAAAAAAGAAAAAAAAAAAAGTTTGTCTGACTTTGCAGTGATAGGGACAGCAAAAGGACTACTCAGAATTATGCTTATTCTAGAAAGATACTTTCTCATCAATCCCTAACCTTGGATGAGGCTAGCTACTCCCATTTTCATTTCAAACAGCCCATATTTCAAACAAAGTATCTAAGCAACTCCTATTCTCATTTTGTTAACATTCCCCAAATCTTCTCTGTCTGCTGTGTAATTTGAGGAAGCAGTTGGACTCTGGAAGCTGTTGGCAGACCTCTTGTCTGATGAATATTTAAGTACCTTCAGTAGCCCTTCAAAATTGGCAGTTCTCCCTCTGAAGACTCATTGGAGCACACACGTGATCATTTGGAATTAAAACGCTGCCAGATTTCACATTTGCAAAAAGTAACTTTGATAGTACAGTACCAACAAAGGGATTTTGTCAGCCATGATTGGGTAAACACAGCTGTTTTCTTCCCTCAGGGGAAGGATAGGAAACTAAAATTATAGGGTATCGTGTAGACATAGGAGTTGAGTTCTTTCACCGATTTTTATAAAGTCTCAATAAATTAATTATGTTTGATTGGGTTAAATAAAGTACAAGGTTTTGGAGTAGGATTGTCTTAATCACTTTTCCTATAACAAAGAGGTACATAAAGCTATTTAATTAATTTATTTAAAATTCTCTATTGGGTAAAAAGAAAAATCCATAAGTCTCTGTTATTCACAAAGTCTTAAGGCATAGTCTGTTTTTTGTTTTATTTTGTTTCTTTCCAATTAAAGAGCATCTTCAAAATATACTGTGTAAAATCTCTCCAAATTTAAGCACCAGATAGAAGATAATTTTTTTGTTCTATTTAATGATACATGACAGTAGAATGCATTTTGACACATTGTACACAAATGGAGCACAACTTCTTATTTCTCTGGCTGTACATGGTGCAGAGTCACACCAGTAGTGTAGTCATGCGTGTATGTTCGGTAATAATGTCTGTCTCATTCTACTGTCCTTCCCATCCCCACAGCCCCACCCCTCCTCTCACTCCCCTCTACACAAACCAAAGTTCATTCATTCTTCCCTATTCCTCTGCCCCATTATGAATCAGCATCCACTTCTCAGAGAAAACATTCAGCCTTTGGTTTTGGGGGTCTGGCTAATTTCACTTAACATGATATTCTCCAACTGTATCCATTTACCTGCAAATACCATAATTTCATTCCTTTTTAAGGCTGAGTAATATTCCATTGTGTATATGCACCACATTTTCTCTATCCATTCATCTACTGAAGGGCATCTAGCTTGGTGCCATAGTTTCGCTATTGTGAATTGCGCTGCAATAAACATTGATATGGCTGTGTCCCCGTAGTCTGCTGATTTTAAGTCCTTTAGGTATAAACTGAGGAGTGGAATAGCTACGTCAAATGGTGGTTCCATTCCAAGTTTTCTGAGGTATCTCCATACTGCTTTCCAGAGAAGATAAATTTATGTACTTCGAAATAGTCTCTGGAAAGGAATAAGTCCAAAAGAAGAGTGAAATGTATAGGAAAACATTCTTTTCAGTTCTGTACTTATCATATACTAACTACTTTCCAGTCTTTGCTTAGTGAGAAATATCCTCCTTCATTAAGATGCAAGCAACAATATCTAGTAATTTTTTTTTATATTTTAGTACTGGCTATTGAAACCAGGTACACTTAATCACATCCCCAGCCCTTTTTTGTATTTTATTTAGAGTCAGGGTCTCACTGAGTTGCTTAGGACCTCACTATATTGCTCAAACTAGCTTTGAACTTTCCATCCTCCTGCCTTAGCCTCCCAAGCCACTGGGATTATAGGTGTGCACCACCACACCGGGCAATATCTAGTAATTTTAAAATTTCCTAATGTGTTTATCTGCATAAGGTGCCAGTAGTGACTTATTAATTCATTTGTTAATTCATTTATCTACTGGGGACTACTTGCTTTTAGGGACTATACAATACACGATTAAGTTACAATCCTATCTTGAACCACAATTCATTGGGGAAGACAGACATGTAAAAAAACATAGAACTACAGGACAGTGAGGAGAGGGCTATAGGAAAGTTATTTCCAAAGAACTTCAAAATCACTGGGGAAAAGATAGTGCTTGGAAATCAGTGCCAATGGGGTCTTCACAGAGCAGGTGATATTTGTACCCGTCTTTGAAGGAGTAGGTCCTACTTCTTAGCTAGAGTCACGCACTCCTGTGACCATGTGCTGATGTGTTATTTGACCTCATGCTATCAGCTGTTGTCTCCTCCTCCTCCTCCTCCTCTTCCTCCTCCTCCTTCTTTGACCCCATGTTGGATTTTTAAATTTTTATTTATTTATTAATTCACATTGAGATGGGGTCTCCTGACATTGCCCAGGTGGTCTCCAACACCTGGGCTCAAATCATCTTTCTGCTTCAGTCTCTCCAGTGCCTGGGACTAAAGGTGCTCACCACCATGGCTGGCTCTCCAGCTCTCTTAATGAACAAGCCCAGAATCAGCATGAGACTACATGACTGGGCATGGCCCATTGGGGACCATCTTTAGAGACCAGCTACCATATCCTGACTTTTCCATCTCCTCCATCATTTACTTTCTAATAATTCTCTAATGTCTCATCCCTATCTTTACTGATGATGTCCTAATCCTGCTCCTCATCATGACATACCTGGATTATTACCATAGCAACCCTCACTCACCTCCAATAGTTCTCCCCGACTTCTGTCTTCCTTCTCTTCCATTTGTACAAGATTTCCTTCCCAAAGGCAATGATTATTCTTTTTAAAACAGAGACTTTTTATGTAAGAAATATAACGCCTATGCAGAAAAGTACACATAATTTAAGTATCAAATAAAACAAGCTTCTTATAATCACAAGAGAGAAAATATTGTCAGCATCCAGAAGCTCCCTCATATCCCTTACCAATTACACCACTGCTTCTGACTGGAAATAACTACTCCCTTAACTGTGGAACCTAACACTTCTGTGCTTCCTTCGTTCCTTCCTTCCTATTCCCTCCTGTACCAGGGATTGAACTTGTGGACACTTTTTCATTGAGCAACATCTCCTGCCCTTTGCATTTTTTTTTATCTTGAGACAGGGTCTTGCTAAGTTGCTGAGTGCAGGGAGCCGTCCCTGAAATATGCATGAACCAAATTGACCAGGAAGCCATTGAGAAGGACAGGCTGGTTTAAGGAACTCCCAGCGACAACTCTGTAGGTTTGAGACTGCCCAATATGTGTGACTTCCTATAAGCTCTGTTAGGTTCAGCACTGCACTAGAGATGGGGTAACCCCCAGGAGTCACACAGCCACACAACCCCTCAGAGATGAGTGTGGCTTGCCAAGATGACAATCAACCTGTTTGCTGCAAGACCCCTGCCACACCAAAAAGCAAGACTCCTCCCTGCCTTTGATGTGCTCTCCCTTAAATAGAGAACTGGAGCCATTTTCTAGTTGTGCTGTTCCAGCTCCTAGGTGAGCTGGAGAACCTACCAGGCAGTCCTCTTCCTTTTTTTTCTAATTTCTGGTTCTGACTCTTATCCTTTACTAATTATTTCAGACTTTCTTTTTCTCAGGTGGCTTATACCTTCTGAGCAGGAAACTACCCTGGTGGGGTGCTGGCCCCCCTGCAATAGCTGAGACTGGCCTCGAACTTGCAATCCTCCTGCCTCAACCTCCAGAGTCTCTGGGATTACATGCATGCACCACCATGCCCAGTTGTTTTATTCTTTTGCCACTCAAGTGTACATTCCTAAAAACTATAGTTTAGGCTTGCATGTATTAAATTTGATATAAATTAAACTGTGCAATGCATTTTTTTATGTCCAGCTGCCTTTCCCCAAAATTGAGTCAATATGCTGCACTTTATTTATCTGTTCTACAAATTTGGTAGGCTGATTATTTCCATTTTATTCTTCTTTTTACTTTTTTTTTTTTTGGCTAGAAGTGTAGCTCAATAGTAGCGTGTGTGTTAGCATGCACAAGGCCCTGAGTTCAATCTCCAACACCCCCCTGAATTTTGTTTTAGTTATTCATTTGCATTCATATAAATTTCATACTAATCATGTCTATCTCTACAAAAATCTTGCTAATATTTTAATAAAAATTTTGTTAAATTTGAATATCAATTTGGGGAGAATTGACCTTTTCTGTATTGAGTATTCCAATCCATTTATTTAGAGCTCTGATTTCTATCATCCGCATTTTGCAGTTTTCAACATGAGTCCTAGACATGTTTTGTTAGATTTACATCTACACTTTTAATTTTGTGTTGAGTGATTATAAAGGGTATTGTATTTTCAACTTTAGTGTCCATGTGATCATTCCTAGTATACATAAAAACAATTGATTTTTATAAATTTATCTTATATTCCTTGATCTTGTGGAATTCATTTTGTAATTATAAGAAATTTTGGAGGTTCCTAAGGGTTTTCCATATTTAAATATATATATATTAAATATATATATACACTTTGCAAATCAGGATCATTTATTAACTTTTTCTCAATGTGAATGCTTTTCACTTATTTTCTTGCCTTATTGCATT